TTATTGCGCTAGCTCACGTGGTTGCAGAGCTACCGGGATTTAAAAATTAGTTACGCAAAACAGAGCGTGCTGCTCTGACCGGCTTTAAAGGGTTAACCTCCTAAGACCTGAACTCTTCCACAGCAGCATTTTTAATTTCTCTTTGATATTTGGGCTGATTGGGGCCCGATGAATGTGAAAACAAAGAATTACCAGATTTTTTTTTTTATTCTAATTTTTGTTTCTAAGAAAAATCAGAGCCACATATGAGGATATTCGCTTAAAATGTTGATAGAACAGTAGCAGTATAATGTTGAGTATTTTGGTCTAAATAACCCAAAATGTGATGTCCACACATGTGGACGCAGGTCCTGGGAGGTTAAATCATCCAATGTGCATCTTTAGAAAAACAAACAATTGTGTGTAAAACATTTTAAATATTTAGATCCAACATGAGCCGTGGGAAGAGAAGGACTTCCTGTGATGGGTCTACGATCAGCCAGACGTTCCCAAATGACTCCAGCTTAGCCAAATTTTCATCCACTGGTCATTTCTGCTCCGCTAAATATTCCTGGGAATGACTATGAAAGGCAACTTGTTACCAGAACCAGGGTTTGATATTAATATATATTCATTTCTGTTAAAGAAAAGGTTCTTTAAAAACACTCCAATATTCAGAGCTATGTATTAATGACTCAGTTTTCCCACCCAGTACCAGTACACCAGTCCTGATCATGAATTTTACTGTGACTGTCTACGATGCTGATGTTATGAAATATAAAATGTATGAACCTCTTCATGGTTCGGCTGCTGTTTGTTTGTTCTTCAGTTTTAATTCGACTTGATGAAAGCAGCTTGTAAACTGAGCAGGTTTAAGTTTGTAGTCTGTCAGAAATGAAACTTTCCACTGAAATTCTTTGTTCAAGGTTCAGGCAGCACGTTTGGTTAAAGGTGGAAATTTTGACTGTTTCTCGTCTCCCACAGCAGTAAACATCCATTAAGCTTCAGTATAGGTCCACACAAACAAGTGGTGCGCTCTTCTGCACAGGTGTGTAAACCCGGAGCACCGTGGGTTTGAGGCCAGTCAATCACTTCTACCCTAAAGGTTACTGCGGACGTCCTGCGACACGTGCACACTGGCGAGATGGAGCTGACGAGGTGGAACAACAATCCACTGAAATCTTTTCATTTTGCAGCATCCCGTCTGCCACACGGAGAACGACGCCTCCCACAGTTGTTGCCTTGACAGCAGCTGTGGCTTTTTGTTATAAATGAAACAAAAACACAGCACTGAGCTCTGGTGACAACCGTCCTCCAGGCCGACAGTGGAAGATCTCACATTTCATCAACACAAATCAAAAGAATGAAACAGCAGATGAACGGCTCGCAGGCTGCTCGCTGTGACAGCGCACGATTAGTTTAAATATTTGGTTTTACCAAAGAGACGGCGATGCCATCACAGAATGACTTCTGTGGGGTCCTCTGAAGTGGGAAGTTTGTTTTTCTATATGTTTCGCAATAGCAGTTTAATAGGCTGGTTTCATTTCAGTTTCGTAAGTATTCTAAGGTCCTGGTTGGTATTTGTAGGCCCGACCAGAAGCACCACAAACAGGGTCTGTTCTCGAGGTAACGTCAGTAACGTGTTACCCTGAGCAGGAGGCAGAGCAGCAGCTGTTATTTAGGTTAGTGGTTTGACCCCTATTAGAGCGAAGTGCTCCAATAGGGTGATATGGGGGTGACTCTGCTGGGGGCTTCCCATGATGCACTGATGCACACACTGTTTCTTCTTCACTTCTCCACCTCTTTTCACTCAATAAGTGTTTACACACCACTCTGCATTTAATCATTAGTTATCATTAAGCTCTGGCTCTCTTCCTCCCCTCCGCCCATCGAGCAGCAGCAGGTGTGTGCTCCTCCCTGAGCCTCGGTCTGCTGGAGGTTTCCTCCTTCAGCTTCTTCATCTGACTGTTGGGATTTTCTCTGTATTATTGCAGCGTCTTATAATGTAAAGAAGACTGAAGTGACTGCTGTTGTGATTTGGCGCAAAATAAAACTGAGTTGAACCGAATTGTCAAATTTGTAGTTAGACTGAGCCTCTGTCTCAGTTAAGGCTTCATCTGTTCTTCACTATGAGACTGTTGCACAGCCGCAGCTAAAACTGTCACATAAAAAGATGAAATTAATGGAAGAAACCATTGTAATCAGTCAGATTGTGGTTTTGCTGGTCTGTTTTTAAGTGGGTTCAACTTTAAAAACATGAAGTGGTTTCATTGTCTTTATATTTTCCTAACACTGTCTTATCTGTACTTGTACTTGTCTGCATCTGTGACTGCTTGATAACAGAAAAATGTTCGTATGTTGTATAAATGTTCGGGGTCCAGGTTAAGTGGACGGAGCCTGGCAGGGCCAACAACCCTCGCCTGTTACTCCACACACTCCGAAATAAACCCTCAAAGTTCAGTGACAATCTTTCTGACTTTGATTTTTTTATTTACATTTTAAACTTTTACAAAACAACTATTTTTAAGAACAACAGGACTGCAAAGCCAGAACACTAGCAAAGATTGAGAACAACCATAAACTCTTAAATACAGAGTGGTCTCGTCAGTTTTTAACAGCCAACCGTGGAACATGATCCAGTTAAAACACTCAACACCACCACAAACGTCAGTTCCCCAGATACAGTGTGTGCAGGTTGCATTACTATCTGGGATGTTTTTGTACAGGTTCTCCAAACTACAGTTTAAATACAATATCAAAGACACAAAGTACAACAATCTGTCTCAAAGCAGGTTGTAATCAGGTTGCCTACAGTATAAAGAATATGCAACATAGCATGAGTGTATATACTGGATATTTATATATATACACACACATTGCAGACAGTCACAAAGTGAAGACTACCGAGGCCCCGCCCACTCCCAGGCTAAGCTGTTCTATTCACATTTAACAAGAATATCCAAAGATGCCATGAAACAGCAACCAGAATAGAAAAATCACCAAAAATATATATATATGCCATTATGAAGAGCTACCAGTTTGGGGGGTACTTTTTGTTTTTTATTATTTTCATCCTTTTAAATAAATGGTATGGACTGGAAAACATATACAACATCAAGTGTACTCGTATAATCAAGATATCTTTTGAAACATTGCACATAAAAAAGGGATAACGTACAGAAAGGAAGAGGGCATGCTGAACAACAGATCGATGAAGAGTCGGCTACAAAATAAGGCCTTGACAGAACATACCACCAGCTCAGCACATGCTCTCTTTCACTTCACGGGACGACACGAACATGCAACCTTCCCAACAAACACAGCTGAACACAACCAGTCGTTTCATGTCAAAGCGCACAGATGTTCACAGATCAAACGGGCTCGCGCCTGCTTTCATTCAGTCACATTAGATTGAAACAAAATGATACATTCTTATCTTCTTTTTCATATATTTATATTTTATATATATATATGTATATTTTTAAAAACGAAAACCTTTAAAACGACACCGGTCCATTTATTGCACACCATTGGTTCACAAAAATATTTTGGGCACTTTGCGTTTCGACAAACAGCAGCATTTCATTATAAAAAAGGTGATCTGAATACACACACCAACACAACAGATGAAAAGCGTGACACACACGTGGAGAATAGAAAACTCTGTCTTTTTTTTTTTCAATTCTGAAATTGTGCAACTAGAGTTAATAGGTCCACTTACTAAGGCTAGCCTCTTCAACGCACATCATACAGTGTTGTAAAGGGCAGAACAGCAGGACCCCTCAGCTAAATAACATGGACCGCTTTCAATGATTATCTCTTTCTTTTAATATGTGCAAGTACTGATTGCCACGGCAAATCCCCAATAAGAGAGAGAACATTTGGTCCTGGAGGAAAAAGCTCAGTTTGCACCCAGAGAAAAAGGGCAAATGGCACGACATTTAAAAAAGGGCTGAACGGATGGCACGGGGCGACGCCGCTGCTTCCTAAGACGGCTCTGATTGGATTCTCAGCAGTATTCAACCTCACGTTTACAATCGAGCTCGTGCTGGAGTGAGCGCGAGAAGGAGCTGTTTGTACGACTTTTGGGGGGCGTACGGTGAACCTAAGCACAACCCAGCTGCAGTCAGTAGCATTCGACTCAAAGTTCAGGCGCAACAAATACAGAATCACAAGCCTGTTGGCACGATGCGGGTAACAGGAAGTCTGACCCGAAAATCCACATTTAAAATAATCAGTAACACGAAGAGCGGCCTGCGTGGGTAACGAAGGTTCAACTCACAGTATTTGCTGTGTTCACACGTTAGCAGACGGGTTACTTCAAAACAACATGATCACACTCGACAGCCTCGTGATCACACGGATGACTGTCACACTGGGTCACTGGGCTACAGTAACTGTGCACTCACTGAGCAGTTTAACCGTTAAGGTAAAAATACTCCTCGTTATTGTGACGTCACATATTAGCTTTAGAGTCTCGACGTTAGCCAGCACAATGCTACTGATGAGGGTGAAGAGCTAATTATCAACTGTTTCTGATAAAACCCTGAAACACGAGCTTCTTTGGCACACAGCCTGTCATGTTGGTCACATACAAATTAATTTAACGCACCAAGGTCAACACCCATATATGTAACAAGCTTCCACAGTCGCCCCCTGTGGCCGTTAGAGGAACTGCAGTTTTTAGCATTGCCACCTGCAGGTTACCGCTCGGTGTAATTCACTGCCAAGCTGTTGTTACAAAGCTTATACATGGTCGTTGTTACAGGGATGTAGTGGATGTGTGCCAGTGGCAAGAATGCAAAAGTTGAATTTATAGCAGAGCTGCTGCGTTCAAAGCAAACGTGTTCCCAGTAAACTGCTCAGTGAGTGTTACTGGTAGTCAGGGAATCGTCCCCTTTGTAAGCTCAGAGTCCCACAGAGCCGCAAAGAAACGCTGTCAGTGTAACGTCGCTCCAAGAGTCAGCTGCTGGCGAGCCACATGAACGTCTATCCAATGAACTGCCTTTGGAAAGAAGGCCGGGATGCTACATTGCCATATCACATTTGGGAATATATAATACTGCAGTCGTTGACGACAATGTAACCATGTGATTTTTTCAGTCTCAATTTGTATCCGTTTCGTTGGATTACAAAATAAAAGCTCTAGTGCCGCTCCAATCTTGAGATATTTGACGTCACTAAACAGGAAAATCGTATACTGCACAGATGTGTTCGGGAATACTTTGTCAAGTAATTTCAAAAATGAAATGTGTTCATACTGATCAAAGAAATGCACATACACACACCTGACATATCATTTCACAACAACCAACATTCACAGCATTCGAATAGTAAAACTACAGTACAAGCTATTGCAATATAGATAATATTGACATTTAACAGTTTGCCTATAGCAACGGCACTAAAGGAATAACACAGTCTCTGCCAATACAAACTAGCATCAGCACTACAAATGAATACAAACATTTTTGACTTGATTTGTCACTGTTGGCAAAGCAAAGACCTTTTCTTTCTCTACACGGTACTTTGTTAAAACGGGAACTCTCAGGCACTTTCCAAAAGTAGAGCAAGGCTTCGATTGAACAGACCTCGAATTGGCTAAGACAGAAATGACTTTAGCTTGTGCTGCATTCACGTCATATGGGAAAACAACCTTCCTCCTTTAAGTGACTCATAAAAAAACTTCTCCTTGGATTTCGAGCGAGATCTTCTGACCCGCTGAAATCTCACATCAACGGTGAAAGTTTACGAAATATTATATTTGAAACAAAAACAACAACAACAGCTGACATTGAGTTGCTGGGTTTGGTGTTCAGCATCTGTGTAGAGAAACGCCAGTCGGTCAAAGTATCCTGACAGTTTCACACGATGAGGCGTCGACATCCAGTCGTCCCAACCGATATTCCCATATGACATGACTGCAAAATAAGACATAATGGGCAAGTAGAAGACTCGAATCACTTTATGGTAATGGAAGCCACCTCCTTGGCCTGAGCATGTTGCTGCTGCTCTTCTTCAAACACCTCTGGGGAACTGCCACCCACGCTGTTGTCCATCTTGGTCTCCTCTGTCATGGGCGCCGTGTCGTCGGCGTCCATCTTCGGGGAGGCTGGGGCTTCCAGGGGATCCAGGGGCTCAGGTGACAGGAAGCCAGAGGAACTCTCACAATTCTGGGTGGAGGAGGAGACCTGGGAGATGACGGGCATCTGCACTGAGGAGGAGGACGAGGCGGGGGTGGTGGTGGAAGCGGAGGTGCTGCCCGGGTAGACCGGATGATGCTGGGTCTCCTCCAGCTCGTACTGGACTCCCAGCGCCTCCTCCTCCTCCTGTACCTGGCTCAGGTAGTCGGGCACGAGGAAATCACTGCGTGGACCAAGAGAACACGTTAAGTCACCCGACAGTAACTGCACATGTGCACACAAACAAACTGTAACATACTTGTATATACATAAACTGTAACACACAGAACACATGTCCACGTGTCTCCCCATGGAGATGAGTCACTGTGACCACCAAAAATGTACCGATGACACTGCGGCTACTTTAGGGATGAGGTTTGGGTATTTATAGACCCAACGGTAACAGCGAGCCAACAGAGGAGACTATCGAGGGGCAGTGGGTCTGCAGCCAGCAGGGAATGAGCTGAAAAACCTGAAACTAATCTCCAACAAGTTCTATTAATATTTAAGTTCAATCTTTATCCCACTGTGCTGCAGTTAGTCCTCTATCTGGAACAAGACTCCCTCTTCTGATTGGTGGCTCCTCGTAAACAGACGAGAGAGAGCCGTGTGCCTGAGATGAGCATGTCAGGGTTGGGGATCGTCTGTGTAACAGCACAAACAGCTCGGTTTAAAACCCGTCTGTGATGTGAAGCCTGAGCTTTGGAGTACTGTGCAGAAGTCTTGAGCCACCCTCAGGCTGACTTTTTTCTGTGCCGCTTATTTTGCTTCTTATTGAGCTGAATCGTCTTGATGCATCTCAATCGTCCAGGAAAATAAATCTCCAAAAGTTGATTCTGTTCATCTGGACGTAGCGTTTTCTGGGAGAAACGTTTCGTCATCATCCAGGTGACTTCTTCAGTCTCAGCTGACTGCAGGATTCCCCAATCTTATAAACAGGACATTTGCATAATCATTATGCAAATGTCCTGTTTATAAGATTGGTCCAGATGAACAGAATCAACTTTTGGAGATTGAGCTGAATCATTCCAGCATTAAAAGGCCCAAACTCAACAGATGACTCAGTGCTAACACCCAGGGTTTAGGCACTTATAGATCAGTAAGACATGTTTCAGTCAGTGGTGTTGAGCAGTTTGCCATAATTGATGGAACCATGAATGCAGCACCATCAGATTTTATCCAGCATGTGGAAAGCCTCTGCTCGGCAGCAGCGTCATTCTTCAGCATGACAGTGATCCTGCAGGAAAAGCAAACCTGCTTAGACAAACCACACCGAGGACCAGTGAGGCCCAGAGCTCCGTGAAGCAGTGTGGGGTCATCTTCAGAGAGAAGGGAACAAAATGCAGAGCTTTGGGATGTCCTTCCAGAAGAATGGAGAAATGTTCCTGAAGCTCAGCAAGTCACTGTAACAATCTCCTATTTTCCCAGCAGAAAATATATATAAAGGAATCTGCTCAAGACTTTTTCACAGTACATCAAACTCCTTCTTTGAAACTTTGTCCACCTTCAGCATCCAGATAACCAGGAAACTCATAATCGGGCCGCTAAAAGCTAAAAGCTAAAAGCTAAAAGCTAAAAGCTAGAAGCTAAAAGCTAAAAGCTAGAAGCTAAAAGCTAAAAGCTAGAAGCTAGAAGCTAAAAGCTAAAAGCTAGAAGCTAAAAGCTAGAAGCTAGAAGCTAAAAGCTAGAAGCTAGAAGCTACTCCACATTTTCCATCGTCAGGGTCACACCTGTAAGGTTTGTTGCTTTCTTTCACATGGTAGCAGATTGAAAACGTCTTCAGGGGTAACTTTCAGTATTTTACAACTGAAAGAAAAACATCGTAAACTGCTGCAGCTCCTGAGCGTTTGGAAACAGACGGCGTCATTGCCCTCTCTTTAGGTAAACGTGGGCGTGATTGGCTCTCCCTCATAAACACTGGGTTTAAACAGCGGCGGTGTGCCTGAGACGACCATATTTACTGACATCATACTGAGCCAAAAGTGGAAAAACTGTCAGAAACTAAATGTTTAGAGCAACCCAAAGCCTGAGGCTTCAGCTTAATTGTACAATCACTGTACAGTAAATATAAAGCAGGCCTTCTATGACAGCACGCTCTATCAGAAATGAGTCAGGACGGGGAAACATGAGTGTTTTTCTGTAATTACAGTTTAAATTTGTTAATAAATTCATCATCTTTGTGATGCACCTTCATCTGCCTCAGTCATTAGTGTAACTGCACTGATTCAGTGTGTGGGATTGGTGGTTCATGCTTTACATGAACGTTTGGTACAGGCAAACATACGAGTGCTGTAAACTATCATCCAAATTCATCAGATACAGAAACTGGTGCTGCCTGAGCCAAAGTGATGCCGAGCTTTCATCACATGGTTTCCATGGATGTTCAAATGTGTCAGTGCCGTCGATCCTGCAGCTGCACATGTGCAGACGGTCAAACTACGGCTGCCGCAAATTATTATTTTGATAGTCGACTAATCAGATCGTGCATCCATTGGATGTTAAAACTACAGCTGACTGCACCAGCAGCATCTGCTCTAACTGTCATCAGCTTACAGCTGGAAGAGTTTAAGGTGCTCACTAACAATAAAAAC